GGAAGCAAGAGTACCACTCAGTGCAAACCAGTGGGGCTGCTTTTGAGCTAGAGCCCTAACCACCATAAGAAAATCACTGAAAATTCACTGTACTGAAGTCCTGCTCTGTATTTGGGAAGGCCACTTCAGTGAAGAGAGGATGGAAGGGTCCTCTCAGAGAATTGCTTGAGTAAACTTGTAACATATACCAACCCAATGTTTTCTGCATGCTATTGCTGACATATCTTCTACTACTTGTAAATCCCTCAGGAAAATAACTTGGGAGAAGATTAATGTATTGACAAATTCATGTGGAAAAATTTCAATTAGAACTGAGGGCTATTCTTTTACATATTGAAATGTATAGTTCTGATATTTTAATGATTAATTTCACTTTGGAAATGCAAACGTTGGGGGGGGCAATGCTAGGGGTGTTTTTTCACTCTTTTTCTTGTAAAGTGGACTTTGTTGTTGTTTTAAAAAGTGTTCTCAATTTCAGTAGTCTTTTATCACTACAGACGAAAATAAACATTCCCATCAAGTGTAACACTTGGCTTAACCCAACATGATCTGCTTTACTTTTTCAGTTTTGACAAGAAACCTGGAAGATTTCTGTCTTTTTTCTGACCTGGACTTACACTCTGTAACGCTTTGATGTGTCCCCCCAAAGAGTGAATCAAAAAAGAAATGTAATTCCACAATAACTATTCTGTATTCCTGATTTTAGGTGTGATAATTTAACTATGTGTGATGTCCTATTTCAGACTAAGGTATTTATTTGTGTTTTGGCTTCTTATCTACCATCTTCTGTAATAGCATGAGAAAAATAAGCAGCATATGGCTGCACCAAGCAGTGCCTTAGTGTAGAGCGTGTCCTATTAAAAAGAAGTTAGTGGTGGACTCTGCTGGTGAGTTTATGCTGTCTCTACAGCCACCCTCAAGTCTACAATGATGTCAGGGTTGTTACCGAAGCAGAACCTGTAAGGAAGCTGTACGCACACTAAGACAGATAAAGAATATGGACAAGTAGGCTTTTGAACTCCAAAATAATTGAGTTTGATAAGCAGAAAGTGAATCTTTATCACATCCTAATATACACAGAGAGCAGCTAACATGGAAGCAATGTAGATTCATTTTTAGCAATCTGTTTATTGCTGGGCATGATAGAGTTGCTATTGCATTACAGCGCATGCCAGAGTGCTGTAATGTGGCCTTGCGGGCACTGCGTCTCTGCAGGGAAGGTGCAGGGACAGCAATGATCGTGCTGCCAACAGTGGCGTAGGGCACTCCGGGTACAGAGCGGTCCAGGAGGTGCAGGTTCAGGCAGCCAGGCAAGGATTTGAAAAACAGAGGGTGGACAGTGGTAAGAATTGCTTAGGAGCCTGCTCAGGTATGGTGTTTGGGAGATCTTCCTGAGTGCTGCTTATTTTCATGTGTGAGACTGGGAAAGGACTCTCCTCATAGCCAAAGCAGATGTTGAACATAGACATGGTCTGGGTTTGCTTTCAGAGACAGAAATGCTTTCAGCTCAAAAAGCCATGTAGTCTTTTCTTTAAATATTTGCCTGCCTTTCTGAGGGTCCAATCCTTCTTCTATGGAGACTCATTGCTCTTTCTGACATTGTGCATTGGTCCAACACTGAAATGCATTAGAATATGAATCAAGAGTAAACATATGAAAAATATGATCAAGTACGTTTTGGACATAAAGCCGGTAGACTCAGGAGCTGAGTACCTAGAGGAGATTCTTCAGGAAAAAAAAGCCTTCAAGCTACATAGGAAAAACAATACTTTCAGTGCAGCCACATAACTGTATGCAGCTGAGACCTGAACAGAAAACAAGAGTTTGGGTTTTTGAGCAAAAAAAGCAAACATGAAAGCATGCAGTTCTGTCAACTGCATGTGCAACCTTGAGAGATGCTTGAGTAGGACTAAAATCACTGGTTCCCCAAAATACATTGGAATTCTCTTAAACTTGGTGTCTCAGTTACAGGATGTAATTCTGTGCCATGAGCACTCTCTCTGTAACCACTGGCCTTTTACCTTCAACCTACCTGGGTATGAGACTCCCCTACCTTCAGTACTTCTTGGCCTACAGTGGTGGCTTACACAGTTCATCTGGGCTGTGTTCGGACTTCCTTCCCCAGGAGATTTACCTTCTGGGTGAGTGCAGATTACGTCTGGACTGGGGAGCAGCCACGGCGCTTGATGAGCTGCAGGGCTAGGTTGCAGATCCCTTTGGGTTTTTGCTCCCCATGGAGATCAAGCTGTGGTGGGGGATAATGCCTGGCCAAGTTTCACCCCAGAGCAGAAGCAGGACATGGGCAGTATGTGAACTTGGGAGTGAGGACCTGCTTGTGCATCCTGGGCAGGGACATAAGAGCCCTCTCAGGGTAACAGAATTTTTTTGTTCCAGCTCTTAAACCGAGAAGATGAATGTCCACAGGTCCACACCTCCCTTACAGAAAGGCAGCCTGACTGCTGATGGTACCACAAGATCTATCAGTTCTTTAGGAATCCCTTCAATTCTCTGTGTCTTAATTGGGATCTTGCTTCCAGACTTTGTCCCCTGTCTTGAAAGATTTATTTTCAGACTTTCATATTTACAGCTCACTTAACCTTCCTTCTCCCCCCTTCATGTCCCAGAGTAGTTTTGTAGATTGGCTAAAGAAGAGGCAAAATCTTCAAAGCCAGTGCCAGAGGCTCTGTCCCTTAATCACTCCCAAGGACAAGCTGGGAGGAGGAGAGGGTTGAGCTGTGCTCTTTGCCTGCATTCCCACACACAAGTGCCCACAGCAGCCTCAGCAAGGATCAGAGGGACTCCAAACACACCACGCATGGCCATCAGCACCAGCAGCCAAACAAGATCTGTCACTTCCTGGAGGTCGATTGCTACAGCACCACGTCTGCTCCGGAGAACAGCCTGATCATATTTTGTGGCTTCTGTGTTGTGCTTTTTCCTACTTCATGTGGTTGTGTGAGGCAACGACTGCCAGAGAAGCTGTCCCCACATCTCCTTCCTGTGCCACCCCTCTGAGACAAAGCCACTGCGTTTCCCCAGGCCAGCATCAAGCTGGCAACAGAATCTCTGAGGACAAGGCAAGGGATGTCCCTGCCCAGAGAAGCCCACCCATGGAGAGTCTGAACTAACTCTTGTAGCTAATCTGCATCACACAGTTGATTTTATTAAGCAGGGAAAGGGTACAAGAGGAAAAAAATCCTCTTGAGGTCCTCCTCCTTGTCCCCACATTTCACCTGCATATCATCACCTTCCTCCTCTCTGCTGTGGATGTCACCTAGCACAAAGTCTGTGTCTCTGAGGCACCATGGTTATGGACCAGGTGGGAAAGGGTGGAGGTTCTTTTTGGCCATGCATTCTCATGAGCCTTACACCACTGTACACAGAACGAGGTCCTTTGCGCTGAGCATGAACTGCGCAAGGGCCGCTCTGGTTTATATACCCCAACACTCATGAATTCACTGATGACAGCCCTGAGAAGCTGAAAAGGCGGGTCAGGCTTGTACCATTAAATCCCTTTCCTCCAGCTACCTACCTATTTCTCTACTACACTGCCAACAGCATGCAAAACTGATATAACTTATGCCAGGTCTTCTGTCAAGCCTTGTTGCTGCAGGAGACTGCAAGTTTGCACAGAAAGAATCGGCTTTGTTGGGATGGAAAATCACCCAGACACCAGTGCAGACATCTTTATCTGAGCCCCATCCCCTCAGTTGCCATCAGGGTCACTGGGGAAAACCATGACTCATCTGGTCTAGTTTTGGTACCTGCTTTGGGGTGGGAAGAGTCATGTCCAAGAAGCAGCTACTTCTCCCTTTTCTACACTAGCTCCCCTACAGATTTTCCCTTAGAGCTGACAGCAGTTTGGTTAGTAGACAACAATGTATTTAACCAGAGAATATTAACAGCTTCCTTAATTCACTTACAGACATGCACACCACCAACATGCAGACATTTTGCAGGGCTACATTACAGTGGTCAGTTCACAGATTCAGACTAGCTGTGCTGTCACTGGTGTGAATTTCTCTTCATCTTAATGAATCAAATATGTCCTATAACTCATAATTAGTTTTCATTTGGACTTGTACCACACAAATCTTTTATTTCCTAGTCAGTTCAGTTTACAAATGGAAAGTATGCAGGCCACAACTTTTTACAGTGTTCTACAGAAAGAGCTGTTTTCAGGCACAACTAGTACATGATGATGTTCAAAGAAAAAAAAAGAAGTCACAAAACCAATATGAGAATGTATTTGCTTGGGAGCCCAGAGTACATAGCTCTGTGTGTTGCAACACAACCTGAATTGCAAGGATTTTGTGCTTTTTAAACATCATCCATGTCATCTGGGAAATATTTCTGCAAGAATAAATAGGCACACAATGTTCTGAAAGGTAAATGGCTCCTTGTTTCTCCAAAAGCTTTCCCAATCAGTCAGTGCAAGTTGCTGAGTCCCTTTGATGCTGCCATTTTGATGCTGTTTTGTAGATACCCTCTACTGACTCTGTAGAAGTACCACTGATGGGAGATGGTGGGCTTATTTATATCAGATTCACTGAACTGGACAAGGGCTAAGAGGACAATAGCTACTTCCAGCAGAAATACTTCATGCAACATGTATGCTATGAGTCACACAGCTCACATGCAGGTTACATTTGCCTTTATATACATATACATACACATACCCAAATGTCAATCTCAAATTATTGCCCAATTCAATTCTACTCTTACTCAAGCAGTTACAATGGACTATTTCCTTCTTAAATGGAGAAAATGCATTTTTTCCATCCTCATGTCAGTTAGAGTAGAGGTTTTAATTTAAACATTTGAAATCAAATTTTAACTTTAAAAGGCTAGTTCTTCTCCAAGAATTGAACGGATTTTAACCCAAGAAAAGAAATTCATGCTGCTCTCCACCATCATGACAATGAAGTGGAATCCCAAAAACGTTGCTGTAATACAAAAATTTAAATACCTGCTCAGATCTCCTGAAGGAAAATACTTACCTCAAATGTGCGCAAAACTTTAGCCAATGCCCCAACTTCTTCTTTCAGAGAGAAAATCAAAGAAATCACACCATTTTTATTTGAGGACTCTTCAATGTACATAGATTCCTGAAAAAAAAATAAATTAATTGAGCAAATAAAAAGATTTACATTCACTCTAGGAGCCAGTTTTGCTTTGCTCCATTTCCTTTTGCATGCCATCAACACTATAAAGAGGGTATAAAGCTGCTTTAAGTGGAAGTCAAGGCAATTGTTGCTGCCAGAACTTGAGTAGCTCTGGGGCTGCTCTGATTTATAATCTGATTTATTTGTAGAGACAAAAATCCCTTCTTTCAAACTAGGGCCCATGTGGAAGAAAAGTAGTCTAAAAGGACATGAAAGTAATATCATCTCTGCCTTGCTTCACCTCTCAAGTGTATCAAGACCAAGGATGGCTGGAAACATTACTGTACTTTGGCTTCAGCTGCAGTACAAAGACCTTCCCTCAGGCTTTCTTTTCATTAACACTCAGGATTAAGCAGAGTGATGGAGATGAGCTCTGTGCATAGAAGCAGGTTATGATCTGTGTTTCCCTTCAGTTCTGCTTGTACCCTTCCAGGTAGGCCCAGGAGATGTGGTATTCACAAGAAGGATACGGCAAGTGGTTTAAAACCAAAATAACAACAACCAAACAAAAAGAACAGGGAAAAATGTTGGAGCAAATGTTTAGATCTTCCCTAAATTCCACAATGAGTAGAGACTCAGGGCAAGACATGTTTTCATTTATGTTTGTTCCCTTTCTTTTACTGACTTTCTCTGCACATTCCAAAGGCAATTTCCAGTATTCCCAAGCAAGGAGAATGTTTATTTTAATTATTTTCATGGTTCTCGTTACCAGAATGTCTTGGTATTTCTCAGTACACGTATTTCTTTTCACAAAAGCCCTGTTAAGTAGAAAGGAGCTATTTCACCACTTCAGAAACAGGAAACTGAGTCCTGGAGTGGGCCTAGGTTTTCAAAATTACCTGGGTACCTGACATGGCAGGTAAGTGCCTGCTGAGACTTCCACAATCTCTTAATTTTTCTGATGACAGCAAATTGGATGCACAACCAACACGAATGTTTGGAAGTCACATTAATACCTTATTTGTTGGGGGTGAGGTGGGGTGGTGGTGTTAACATCTATTGGCCTTGGGCAAATTGCCCTTGGTTGGTGTTTCAAAGATCACACAAGACATCTGCTACACAGGCAGGTACTGGTATAACAAGTCCTCAGCCAAAACTTGACTCAAATTATTCATTCAATTTTTCTTTATGTATCTGAAGATCTGCAAATACAGCAGTCAAAGCCTGCCTTTATTGTAGCTATTTCTTAATTTAATGTATAAATCAGAGTATAATGAATCTCAGGTCCTAAATACTGTCCTTAGAAAAGACAGTCTTTCTAACAGACAAATTAACACTCAAATCTAGCTGCCCTGAAGCCATACAGTTCTTGGTGGGACTACATGTTCTGAGGCACTGTTATAAGGAGTTGTCTTATTTTGTAAAGTAAATAATTGCTGATTATTCAGGTTGTCTGTGAGGCTGCTGCTAACCTGAGAATTCACTTCCAGAAACTGGTAACAGATTTTTCTATATCTGGCTTTATTTCCAGAGGTTGCAAAGGTTATCCAAATGTTTTCCACTTTATGGGGAACCTCTAGTGGGAATTGTAGTAGAAATACTAGTTTTGTGCACCAGAGGGAAGATTGTCACCTGTGATGTTTCCCACAGCATCTCAGGGTCTCCTGGGTCTTCACCCAGATAGGGAGTTGGCCCAGCTGTTACATGATGGGAACCAAGAGGAAAAGCAGTGAGGAGCGATGTGGCATCTCCTAATGAAACCTATTTACACCTCAAGCAACCTCATTGCAAGGGAAAACAATGACAGGAGTCTATCAAAAGGCAAGCCAAATGAGGGCAGTTCAGAAATTTTATGATAGTGTAACCAAAATGCATCTGAAATGCCATCTATGCATTGCTTTGCCCTTCTGTTTTCTTTCACCACAGCAAAAACTGATCTTAAGGACAGAACTGTGTCTGTCCAATGGACTGAGAATTTGCTTTTCATGGTCTGCACTGGAATTGCTCTAAAAACATTGCAGTTATGTATTTAAAATACTTTTGCCAAGGCATGATGTGAGGACCAACTTCTTTGGCAGGTTGACTTGAACCTGTGTGACAAAGGAAGAATTTGTGGTTTGGACACCTGCAGGAGGTACAACAGAAGGTTCAAGTCCTACAAGGTAATTCTGATGTTAATTTATACCACAAGATGACCCAAAAATGCCTTAAAAACCTTCTTTCTAATTCAGATTTTCGTTGGTCACTAGATTTGATGTGTTGAGATCAGACTCTTTCAATCTGTCATCATTCATTTCCCCACTCTTGTAAATCGATTTATGTTGATGCTTAAATTAAGACATATTGCAGTAGGAAGAAGGCACTAATCCTGCAAATATAGTGATATTTGCTTAACTTCTTGCACATCTGTATATGCACTCAGATCACTTAAAGATCTTTGTACAAATGTTAGTTCCAGCCTGAGTCAGGAACTAACTGAGATGACAGCTTTCATTGCAAGGGAAGAGTAAAACGATCATTTTCCTGGTACCCAGTTCTTATCAATATATATGGAGGCAGTATTTATCAGTACACACTGGGGACAACATACATCAACATATAAACTGGAGGTAATAAACATCAACATACACAAGGCACTCACACTTATTGGTTAGCTTTCTTGTAGTACCTATGCATAGTTTTAACTGCTGATCACAGTTTATCCATTCTCAAATCTAATTTATTATAGAAAGGAATATGGAAAGGAATTGCAACTTTGGGGGTAGCTCTGCTTGCCTAGTACAATCTCAAAGACAGGTGATATGTAGTTGCAAGGATGGGTTTACCTGAGCACAATGTAAATCTGCATTTTTTTGATTACCACTTTGCAAGTAGATTGATATTGCCTTTCTGGCACATGTGGCAGTATTGGAGGTCATTAACACAGACCTGTTAGCTTTCTAATCCATTTCTGAGCTGGTGACATAAAGCCATTCAGAGTGAATTCCAACACTGTTAAAGCCAGAGGAAAGTTTCCTTGAAGTTTAAAGAAAATGAGATTCCTAAGTTACTTCTGAAAATGGAACTAGTTTCCAAGTAAGTTTTCTTAGGGCATTTAGATGCTAAGCTCCAATAGATGTCATTGGGACCAAGCAGTTACACAACTTGGAAAAGTAGTAAGGTGAGACCTTAGAGAACTGTTATAAGAGTTCAACCTCAGCACACAAAGTGGTAGGAAACAAAGCTTCCTTTGTGACTCTGCTCTTTAAAAACCTTGTAGAAACTGAAGCCCTTTTTTGCACATCTTCTGCAGCTTGTCTCTGGCTTCAGCAGCACTGCATAGGACACACAAACACAGAATTTCATCTTAATAATTAACCATGCTGGCCTCAGGTTATGTCACTTGCCCCTGTAGTAACTATAGTGCCTGTAATTGAAAGGCATGGGCTTCAGGACTTTCCTGTATTTCCCAAAAGCAAAGAGTTCAAAGTCAGCCAGTAAACATTAAAAAAGGGGATGTCAGAGTTCCAGAATTTAACAAATAGCTCCACCAGAAGAGCAGGTAACTTCAGCTGCTTTCCTTTAACAGAAGAAGACAGCTTGCTTTCATCACACAGGTTTAAGACCTCTAAATTATCTGTTGCTCTTTTCTGCTTCTTCTCCTTCTCTTTGACATATATGCAAAGATACTGGTGCAATATTGATTTTCATTCTCACTGCACTTTTGTGAGCACAATTAACAACAAACAAGCATGGGGGCTGCCAAAAGGGAAAACAGTGGCAACCAGGCACTGCAAAGCATCAGGACAGGGACATTGTTTCCTCCCATCTTTGGTCACACTGCCTCTCAGAAAGCAGGGGACAAGATTTGCAAGCAAGC